GAATGCCTCCCACAGCAAGCGTAGAGGAACATCCACAAGCCGTAGACGACGTAGTCCAAGCACTACTAGACACAACATTTGCTGGTACCATAGAACATATGGCAAACAAGCTAGAAAATGTACTCCGCCTTGTAACTTTGCAAGCACACAGAAAAAGGGACGTCAAGACCGCAGGTTAATGACGACTGCACTCACTGACCACAACTTTCAAGACAGTCGTCTATTATATGTTACAGACAAAAGAACCGGCACACAGTTTTTAGTCGACACTGGGGCAGAGGTTAGTGTAGTACCACCTACTGCACTCGAGAAAAACACACCAGACCCCAAACTAAAACTACAAGCAGCAAACAGGTCTGACATCAAGACGTACGGCAAAAGGCGGTTGCAATTAAATTTCGGTCCTAAATCTAATTTTTCCTGGAGTTTCATCATAGCGGACGTCCTCGTTCCTATAATCGGCATTGATTTTCTGCAATTCCACAAAATACTGGTAGATGTCAGAAATAGGAAACTTGTCCTTGCCGAACAGAGTAAGGAAATTAGAGGAATTATATCAAATGAGACTTCCATACATTTATTAGTTAAACCTCATCATGAGAACGACAAATACGTCAATTTACTTAATCAGTTTCCAGATTTATTACGACCGAGTTTCAAACACGACAAACCGACGCATACCGTCGTACACCACATAAAGACAGAGGGTCCACCTGTGTTCGCACGTCCAAGACGCCTTGATCCCTCTCGTCTGGCTATCGCAAAGAACGAATTCAACAAAATGATTGAGTTGGGCATCATACGCCCCTCCGATAGTCCGTGGGCATCACCGCTTCATATGGTACCTAAGAAGAACTCTTCCGAAGTTAGACCGTGCGGTGACTATAGAGCTCTCAACAGCCGGACCATACCAGATAGATATCCTCTCCCACATCTGCATGACTTCACTCATAGCCTATCTGACGTGTCGATCTTTTCAAAAATTGATCTCGTCCGTGCTTACCATCACATTCCAATTCATCCGGACGATGTTCCTAAAACAGCCATTACTACCCCCTTTGGACTATACGAATTCGTCCGCATGCCTTTCGGATTAAGGAATGCTGCACAAAGTTTCCAGCGTTTTATTGACCAAGTGGTACGGGGCTTACCGTTTGTGTATGCTTACATAGATGACCTACTTATAGCAAGCAAAGATGAAAATGAACATCTAACTCATCTGAAAATGCTTTTTGAGAAGCTAAACGAGTATGGGTTAGCGGTCAATCCTGACAAATGTGAGTTCGGAAAACAATCCCTCACCTTTTTAGGTCACGTACTTGATAAGCAAGGCATTAAACCAGTTCCTGAGGAAACACAAGCTATCAAAAATTATCCTTTGCCTGATTCATTCAAGAAACTACGACGTTTCCTTGGGATGATAAACTTTTACAGACGCTTTATCCCTAAATGCGCAGACATAGCAAAACCACTAACTGATTTATTAAGGGGACGAGCTAAATCATTAGCAATGACACCGCAAGCAATTCAAGCATTTGATCAGTTGAAAAGCGCTTTAAGCACAGAGGCATTACTCGCACGACGAAAGGTTGATGCACCTTTAGCAATAATGACCGACGCTTCTAACGTAGCAGTAGGTGCTGTACTTCAGCAACGTGTCAATGAACAATGGCAACCCCTTGCATTTTTCTCAAAAAAGCTAAACGCAACGCAAACAAAATATAGCACATTCGGTAGAGAACTGTTGGCTATCTATTTAGCCATCAAACACTTTCGCTACATGTTAGAAGGCAATTCTTTCACGATATATACTGATCACAAACCCCTAACTAAGTCCTTGATGCACAACCATGATAAATATAGTCCGCGCGAAATTCGTCAACTAGAATTCATTTCACAATTTGCAGCTGATATACGCTATATTAAAGGCAATGCAAATGAGGCAGCAGACGCACTATCGAGATTAAATATCAATACCTTCTCCATCCCTGATATAGACTATCAAGAAATGGCAAAGCATCAAAAGGTCGATACGGAGCTACAAAAGCTTTTGCAGTCTAAGGAAACGAAATTATTATTCCAAAACATCCCCATAAACAACAAGGACACCTTAACTTGTGATACCTCAACAGGTAAAACTCGCCCTTTTGTACCTTTCGGTTTGAGACGAAATATTTTTGAGAAATTACACAATATATCTCATCCAGGTATAAAAGCCACTGTAAAGCTTGTCACAGATAGATTTGTATGGCCAAAAATAAACAAAGACGTAAGAAAATGGTCACGGGAATGCGTCCAATGCCAAAAGTCAAAAGTACATAGGCACATCATATCTCCTACAGGAATTTTTCCCGCCGCTAGCGCTAGGTTCGACCATATTCATATCGACATTGTTGGACCGTTACCGATTTCTAATGGTTACACGCATATATTAACATGTATAGATAGATTTACGAGATGGCCCATAGCTGTTCCGTTAAAAGACACGTCAGCATCAACAGTGGCGAAGAAGCTGGTGAAACACTGGATTACAAACTTCGGTGTCCCTACAACAATTACGACCGACCGTGGAACGCAATTCGAAAGCAAACTATTTCAGCAACTTACAGATACTTTCGGTATAAAGAGAATTAGAACCACTGCTTATCATCCGTCTGCTAATGGAATGATAGAAAGATTCCATAGACAGTTAAAAGCCTCTTTGACGGCCGCACGAGGAGATTACAAATGGGATATCAAGCTTCCTTTGATACTATTAGGCATTCGCTCAACCATCAAACAAGACCTCGGTTGTTGTGCTGCTGAGTTGGTTTATGGAACAACATTACGTTTGCCTGGTGAATTTTTTGACCGTGCATCAGATATTCCAGCAGATATAACCAACTACGTACAACAATTAAAACAGCAGATGGAATCCATTAGGTCCGTTAAACCACGAACCCAAAAGGTGAAATCATTCGTACCCAACGAACTAGACAAATGCTCACATGTATTCGTGAGAAATGATAGAGTACGACAGCCGTTACAGACTCCTTACGACGGCCCTTTTAAAATCATCCGAAAGGACACTAAAACGGTTACAGTGGAAAGAGCAGGTAAACATGATACAGTTAGCATCGATAGAGTAAAACCAGCATTTTTAGAGAACACTGAAAAACAGACAACTGTAAAATCGTCTAAACCTGCAGCAGAGCAAGCACCATTCAAACTACCTGCAACAAGCAACACTTCAAATCAAAGTCCAGCAGCAGCACAAACTACAACAAGATCAGGAAGAAGAGTACATTGGCCAGATAGGTATGTAGCAACCACCATATTTATCTAGACCAAATCCTGAGACTACTCTTATAACACATAAAAATCCTATTTTATTTTGATTACTATTTTTTTTTATTGGCCCCACGGATCATCATTATGCTTACATTTTAACTTTATACAATTCATTAATGTTAAATATACAATTGTATATATGATATGAAACGTTTCAACACACAAGCTGTTATTACAATTTTACGCTTACTCATCATATTGAGTTGTACTTTTATTTTAAAAACAGTTCCGTTCTTTATCTCTTTGTCGAACATAGATGTTAATCCAATTTTTTTTTTTTTTGGTACATAAAAACATCAATGTTCTGGATGGGAGCTTATGTGGCAAGCCCATTTGGCCACTGTATCATCTGTCTATTCATTGTAACTTAGACTCTTAATTCACTATGTTAATTTCGGTGTGTTTGATCGAATGCGTGTCTGTACATTAACTTTTAAACTATTTTCCTATTGGTTTCAACGTGCAGATAATCGATAATTTATCTACACCCGATTAACCCTCAAATATATATGGATTTTTAACAAACTCACTCACTCTCTCTGTTCCCATCGTGTGCTTGCTCACAATACGCTTGTGGATTATCATTATTCATTAATAATAAACTATCTCCATAACTGGTGTTCAGGCTTCTTAATAATCTCGAGTAAATCCGTAATTCTACTAGGAGATTAAGCCTACCTTAAATACTCAGTTACGGAATATTATTATTTGGAGTCAGATATTAAGGACATTACCCTTAACATATTGGTTAGCTGCCGCCTCTACACTCTCCACGAACTAATTCTATCTTCCTGAATCATATCCTTACATGCAATCTTTCTTTTATATATCACTACCATTGCAGTAACTACTTCTGATACGGTATTGATTACATAATGAATAAACATTGATAGGAATATAGTGAGTAGAGTTTAGTTGAAAGATTAATAATTTGAAAGATAGTTGAAAAACTAAAATAAAGTCAATGATGTGATAAATACAAAAGAAAAAAAGGAAAAAGAATTTTTAAGGTGCAGCGAAAGAATATTTGTCACCAAGGCAAGGAAAGATTAACAAACGTCGCCTTTTGAATACATAGGTCAGGATTTTGACGCCTGATGGCAACGGATTCAGTAAACTTCAGAAGACTGGAGTTTATCTGCTTGCTAATCACCCTAAAGGATTATAAGGTATTTACCTGATGTCCTATATCAAGGAGATGTTTAGTAATTGCACTATTCAGAGTCTTTCTTCCCAATTGTTCTAAGACTTTTTGGAACATGTTCAAAAAATCTAAGATATACTCTCCTTTCAGTTCGGCCGATGTAGCTGCTTTGGCAGATACAACTGTATTTATAAATACATCGTACATCGTACCATAAAATAGAAAACAACATTTGTACAAGATCTAACCAAAAGAGGCTGTGAATGTGGAAGGTAGTAATTGATAGACTGGGTATAATTCAAAAATGTTAAATCGTATGATAATAGTCTATGGGTCAAAATAAAGCTTTTAATAAGAAGAACATGAATATGAATAGTTATACTTTTAGTGTTAGTCCAGAAATAGATCCCAATAGTTACTATTCATTATTCTCATCGGGATATAACAGTACCCATCTGTATTCACTATATATAAGTTATATTGATGAATCGTTTTTTTCTTTCTTTCCTTATATTATCATTTTTAGAGTTTGTATAGTAATATCATAGTTGTTGGTGGTAACAGCTTAATCACTGGATTTACTGATAGATTACAACGAGATCTAAATATTAAAACACCACCGGTATGTTTGTATTTATTTATAGAATAATAATATTATTATTATTACATAATTTAGAGTATGAGATTAAAAGTTAACTTTCCTAGTACAACAGCTGAACGTCGTTATTCCAGTTGGATTGGTGGTTCTATTCTAGGATCTTTAGTAAGTAAAATGACATGTATATTCTATTAGATTTATATCTTTTATGTATAGCATTTTATTCTGACTGAATTGTATTATATGTCTATTATAAGCATCATCAGTATTGTTAGTTCTTATATTAAATGCTGTTAAATAGTGAATGGATTTCAAAGTTGTTTGATGTAGAGATTTATGGAGGGTTATCAGAGGGAGTTTGTGGAGATTTTAGAAATTTCACAGATTGAAATCATGAGTTAATTAAAGTTTGGATTGGTTGAAGTTAGACATTAACACCGTCGGATGCCGGCTCAGTAGTCTAGTTGGTTAAGCGCCTGGCGCCAGACTGGTAGGTCCTGGGCTCGAGTCTCGCGGGGTTGCAGGGTCGTGAGTGCGCACTGCTGAGGAGTCCCATACTAGGACGAGACGGCCGTCCAGTGCTCACAGGTTTTCCATGGTGGTCTAGCTTCAATTGAATCATGATTTCAATCTGTTAACTTGATTATCATGAAAAAGTCATGGGTTAATTATGAATTCTAGTTAGTGTATACTTATGATATGCACCTCACATTGAATCCAGGACATTTTAGGCTTCTCGATGAACTATTCATCTTTAGATCACTTAGTTGAAAACCAATTGGATCCATATTCCAATTTAAATCAATTCGGATTTAGTGGAGTTTAACTGTGTAGAAAATTTGTCAGTAGTTATACACCAATCAGATAGGATGGTTGTCGGACTGTCACTAATTAACTCAAGTCGGAAATATGAATTCATTAAACTAGTGATTTCGCGCCAATTCGATGTTCCTTACTAAGGTGACCCTCAATAACCCCTTGATTACATAACAAAAAACTGTAGAAAATTTCGTCCTCATGTTTTTTCTGTTTGTGATACTTCTTATCACACTAAAATCAGTCAGTTATATGCAACGTAGAACCTGACACATATGTACATTGGTTCCAGTTTCTATATCTCATTAGCACAGAGTGATAAAATTATTAAGTAAAAATATCCCAGAACAGTAGAGGTAGTAACAGTATTAGTGCTAAGAGAAAAGATTCGGGGTCGAAAATGCTATTTGAGAAGGAAATATAAATTAGTGAAATAGTAGAAAAAGTTATGAAGAATTTAAGAACTTTGAATATAAAGGAATAAAAGAAGTGAATACACCTGCTTCATTGTGAACAATTCTGAACTATGTGACCCAAAGTCTGTAACCATTGGTTACGATAATCATACAAACTGCAACGACGTAATCTGCACAGACCCATCTATATGGCTGAGTCCAATAGTTAGTACCTTCATGAAATGGTGTCATATCTTGGTTTGTCATCCTCTAACATTCTTCCAACCTACTTCTACACCAGATAACGTCGTGTCGATGTAGGTGATCGATTGATTGGCACATGTAATACATGTCCCAACTATTTCAGTCGATAAATATTCACTACTTCTTCAATCGATTTTCCATATTTATCTAGTACTGTGGGTCTAATTTCAGGACTGTTAACTCGATGATTCCAAAATATACGAATAATCATTTGAAAGCATCTATGATTGAATACTAATAACTCCCAAATATCCCCTATTTTTAAAAGCCACGTTTCACAGCCGTTGAATGAATATTTAATTTGTTTTTTCGATTTTACAGGGTACCTTCCAACAAATGTGGATATCTAGTCAAGAATATAATGAATTAGGCAAAGGATGTGTGGATAAAAAATGTGCTTAGGAAGAGCATATATTTATTAATAAAATTCTTTTTTTTTACCCATCCTACATGTATTTTACTTACTCGCTTTCAATCCCACGCACTGTGTGTGAGGGGCTATTAACATGTATAATGCAAGTGTAATCTGCATTTCTTTGTAATATATGTTTACATATTATCTATCTTTTCTGTGTTTACCTCTTCAACGGAGTTTAGTTCGACTTATCACGAGTAGTCGTACTCTAAGTGTATTCTTTACATTTTGTTAGTAAAATTATAGACTTACCTATGTTATGGCAACTTAGATCTGTCCCAGGCTCTGTATTGATAATGATTGATACAGTTGTGCTTCAGTATGAAAACAACAATCTACTTTAACATTCTGTTACAGGTTCAAATTGCTATCTCCATCTACTTAGTTTAGGTCAGATAAGTAGTATTTCTATAAATGTGATTTAAACTCGTGTATGTTATTTATCTGTGTTCGAATACTGATACTCAGAGATGGATGATGGCTAGTAGTGGATTTCAGGGCATGCGTTTTGTCCTATTTGGGACCCGTCAGATGGATATACATGCATCCCAGAGTTTATGTTTACTCCGAAACTGGAACTCATTACAAATGAATTCGAATAGAGTTGTGTCAAAATTTAAGCTAATCATCTTTTCCCAACAGGCTTGACGTTTCTTTTGTCACCGATTTACATAATTAAGCAACTGAAGATATTATACAGAACGTAAGCCGTGCTTGATGTGTCTGTGCATTGAACCACATTTTCTTTCATTAATGAGTTATGTCCAATGAAATTCAAGGGTATATGTTCATTCAGCTGGATGCTTTTAATTGCGAATATTCATTTTTAGTTCTGTGCATTATCTCAGCTGTTCTACTTCGTGTGTAAAAGTGAAGAATTAAGATCACTTCTATGTAAATTAGGTGCTCATAAGATTTTGTCCATAGAGTCAATATACGATCTGCGATTAAACGGTTTAGCTCAGAGAACATATCAACAGTAAAAGTATCTATCTGTGCTGCGAATTATTCATCATTACTGTATGTTTTCTTCAATGACACCTAAAACATTCATTTTCAAAGCTTTACATCAGTATATATATGTATTTCTTAGATTGAAAGTCTCTTATGTGTCTTATGTTTAAAGTAGATATTATTAGTAATGCAATTAAAGTGATCTTGAAAGGTCGATTAGAAAGACTTTCTAAGCAACAAATCGTCGTGTAACTTATCATACTTTCCCTTTTATTCACATCTAGATGAAAAAATCAGTTATATCAACCGATCAATTTTGTATGTATAAGCCAGGTCATCTACTTCTTTGAGGCTAAATACTTAGATTGTTCGTCTTAACTGCTTTACTGCGTAGAATGTTATCTTTCACCATGAATTGACGAAGAATAGCGTATAATGATTGTGTCACTTAGTCTACAATAGCCTTAGATTCATCTTTTTATATGTCGAGGGATTCACCACTAAATTTACTTTTGCGTTGCAGAAGCTTTAGTGATACAGATCTTATATATTGTAACAAACATGGAGCATGTGGATGATATTTGTCACATTAACTTCATTTGATATAACACTACTGAAAACCAAAGAGTACTGAGAATTGTTTCATCATAATATGTTATTCCATAGAAATGCTTCTTTACAAACTCAAGGACCACACCTCAAACTTTGAAATCTTGTTATAATTAGCATGTAACCATCCTGGAAACTGAGTTTACACTCCAAATTCAATTCATTTATGATTTAGAACGACTAATGTTTAACACTAATAACTAATACTATCTCACTTCCAACATAGTTGAACTCTTAGGTTCAATCCTAGATGCAATCCCATAGAGAGTCCTATGATAAAATAAAATTGATCAAATTACTCTTAAGTATCATGTGATATGCTTTTTCTTTTCCTGTTTCTAGGGGGAGAGTGTACTCTTGGAAGTTTTTTTTTGTTTGTTTGTTTTAGTATCTAGTTGTTTATTGTTTTATCTATTTTGTTTTCGTATATACACACAAGAAGCAGAAAGAAAGAAAAAAAAGAAAACAATATTTCTCAAAAAGATTATCATTTCAAAATGATACTGATTTATTTGTTGTTGTTGTTATTGTTGTTGTTGAATTTAAACAAAGTTAAGGGTAAAGAAAAGAAAGAAGGTAAGTATCCCATTTTGTTTTACTATCAAGTAAAAGAAAATGTATTTGATTGAATAATGTAAACAAGTTTAATATTGAAACATTGAATGATTTATTAAATACATAATAAAGATTTATTCATTAGTGAATGTTAAAGTATATCACTCAGACAGTCAGTCAGTCAGACAGTCAGTCAGTGAGGTACAACTTAGGACCAGGCATATATATATATGCATTAGTTCAAGTTGTTATACTTCATTAGTACAGTACAATATAACTATGAATTAGTAGATAAAAGAATAGGATACTATTACTACTACTACTACTGTTACTACTTCTTTGTTAATCTCATTTTCTTTTCTTTAAGGACAATGAATGAATGATTCGAGAAGAGACAGAGAGAGAGAGAGAGAGAGAGAAAGGTGCTAAGTTGAGAAATTGAATGATAAATTATTATATATTATAAAAAATAGGTGGGTGGGTAGAGGAGGTGTGTATTTGGGTGTGGGGGGGGGAGCGATACATTGTTTTTTTATGTATATAGGGAAGGATACAAATCAAAATAGGCAGATAAGTAGGATTGAATAACAAAAGTCTATATGGTTATTATTATTATTCAAAAGACAATTGATTGATTATTTAGCATCTTTCTTCATTGTTTACTTTTAAGATCTAATAGTTACTATGTATGTACAAATTGTCTAGGCAATAAATGATAATCTTGCATATATGTATATATATTGTTAAGATGATATTGTTTCATCATCTAATGGTACAGTTGTAGTATTACATGTTTCAAGGGTTTCAATTATTCCTGTGAATGTATCCGACATTTGATTTACATAAGACTAATTGATTTCCATTATATATATATATATATATATATATTGATAATATAAAAGAAAAATTGAAAAAAGAAGAAGAAAATCGATTAATATTTTGTTATTTTTTAAGGTTTAAATATTACTATGAAAAATATTTAAGCGTGCGCGCGCGACACTGGAGGCCCTGGGTTCGAATCCCGTGAGCGGGATTGTGGACGCGCACTGCTGAGGAGTTTCACAATAGGACGAAACGGCCGTCCAGTGCTTCCAGGTTTTCAATGGTGGTCTAACATCAGTCGGTTCATGATCTCAATCAAGATTTAAAAATAAAGTTGTATCGATAGTGTTAGTTACTAACCTTTAGACAAGCTAATTGATTCATTCTACTTGACTTATGTTTTAACCTTTTAATTATTCTCAGAAGGGGTTTTTGTGGATATTATAGTCAGTTCAATGGTTGAGATCATGAGTCAATTGAAACTAGATCATTATGGAAAATCTGGAAACATTGGACGGCCGTTTTATTTTATTGTGGGACTCCTCTGTAGTGCGCATCCATGATACTGCCTTGTTAATTATTCACTTATCAACCTTGACTGTTTTTATATGAGCATAAGTGTGTGTGTGCCCTTCTTATCTTATTCATTACATGTCTGTAACTTATTTTCTAGTGACCATAAATATCAATTATCTCTTGCTTAAATGGAGTTGGCTCATACACCTCTATTGGACGTTATTTTCACTTCTCTCTCTTCTCTTCGATTCGTCCCTCTGATTATCTGTTCAGATCAATGAGTGTACAAAATATGCGTATTCAAAACCAGCATTCTCGTATTTGACTTATTTAATTCTGTTATTTACTAACGCGAGTTAAGTCGATAATTTTATACGAGGATTGACAACTTGTAGTGTCGGTTACCTTGACGAATATCATTAAACGCGCGGCCATTTTTGTATTTTTTAATTGATTATTTTTCTTTTTATTTTCCAATATTTTTCTTTCCGTTTCGTTCAATTAAATTCGTTATCATTAGTTGTTTATTTCTTAAAATTGATATAAAATGTCAATACTTATCGACAGAGCACCTTTTTCTTCAAATTATGGACGATAGTAACGTACAACGTACAAGCTCTACGGTTTCTCACGTTGTCACAGAAATAGTTAACGTATTCTTGAATTACATTGTATCTGGTAGCGTTCCAATCATTTGAAGCGTTAAAGAGCATCATCAGAACTGATGAAAGAGCTACGTACTGTCATTATGCGGTGAGAGATTTTCATTTCCATCGTGATTAGAAGCCGTTTATAAAATTTGTATGTTGGAGAAATGGCCATAGAATACTTAGCGATTCCTCACAGCCGATTAGACGAAGGAGGTAATTTGACTAGTCTTATTATATTTTTTCATAAAGGACTTCAGTGAAAACTCAATGCTCGGCATTCACCTTTTGTAGGTTTATTGAAGGTTATTGAACTGTTGTTCGTGAGAATGTGAATCACAATCATGCGTGCAATTCCCTGAGGTACGATAGTAATTATTGGATGCGCAAGTTAACGAAGGGTGTCTTTGAGATAATGTGACCACTTCTGATTCCTTAGACAGTAGCGTTCAATATTCTGCACTTCGCTTACCAATCTTAGGGAAAGCGTCCGAATGCTCAAGATGTCTTTAATGTGCGCCACAAAGTGTTCTCACAGGCCAACCTTCCTGGTGAACAATGTGCCTATTTATATTAGGTTAGGTGATTACGCCAAATTGAAAGCTTACATAATGTCGCTTGGAGGGTTTTGTGATTACCAATTATCTTTTGTATTTCTTCTTCACAAACTGCTGATCAAGTGAATTTGTCAAGTCGTTTTTTTGATGTTGTCGTCTTTCTGATTGTTTGTTCCGATCAACGATTGTACAAAATATACGTATTCGAAATTCATTCTCTTATTTGACTTATTTTAATTCCGTTATACTGTAACGCGATCTAAGTCGATAATTCTATACGAGGATTGGCGACATGTATATCTCGATAACAATCAGAAACGATCAAACTGGAGTAATTAGAATTAGATAACGTGCCACAAAAGTATATTTCGTTCGATATGTTTCTGGATTATATAAATGGATTAATTTTTACAATCAAATTCATGAGTTGATCTAAACTAGACCACCATTGAAAACCTGGAAGCATTTTCATCAACTAAAGTTAAACATTAACACAGTTGGATACCGACTTAGTGGTCATATTAGTCAAGAGTTCACACTCTAGATTGAAAGTTCTAGGTTCGAGTCTCATGTGGATGTGTACTACCTAGGAGTCCATTCATACTAGGAAGAAACAGCTGTCCAGTACTTCCAAAATTTCACTGATGGTCTAACTGAATTCGACTCATGAATCCAACCGTGAAAATACTACAATATTCACAAAACCCAATATTGAATACGATTAATTCATTTAAAAAGAATAAAAATGTTTCAGTGAAGAATTTTATCGATCAAATTGCAATGTAACTACTAGTCTGTGACTTTACATCCCATTGACTATGTTGTGATGTGAGGTGAAGGTAATATACAGGAAGCTCCTTACCTGTTTCGGGCTATTACACTCGTCAGTAAGGTGTACTGGGGTCAACCTAAACAAACTGACGGTCGCTGAGGGATTTGATTCCGTGTTACTTCGCTTCACAGCGAGAGACGTTACCACTGAACTATTCAAGCAGGGATTGACGTCACCATAGGACTGATATGTGTTTACAATTAATTGATTACTGAGATGGCCTTAGATAACCACTAAAAACCAGCATACACTGGATATGGGTCTTATTCTAGCGATATGGCAAACCAATCAGCAGTAGCTTAATGAGAAGTTCAAGCGATGGCAATCAAAAGTGACCGAAGAGACAAGTGAATTTCAATTTGGCAGTTGACAAAGATATGGATTATTTTCCTAAGGGGTAGAGTGGTATATATATATATATATATATATATATATATATATATATATATATATATATATATATATATATATATATGAGTATTTGTGCGTTTTATTCGGTAGCCCAATATAATCTCTTTTTCATTCCTGTGTTCTCGCTCATGTGGTCTGTTGGGGGGTTAGTGTGTAGCACATCGTGTATCAGTATCAAATTTCAGACACCTCCCGTCACAGCATCTACTATGAGAATCTTTAAGAGTACACACTCACGAGCCCACTGGGGATCGAACTCAGGATTTTCAGTTTTTATGACGAGTGTTTAACCTCCAAACTGATGAATTGGTTTAGTTGTTATTTGGAATGTTTATATTATTTCGAATTCTTAATTCAACATATTCTTGACGTCACCACATCTACTAGATTGGTAGATTTCTGAGTTTCAATAGAAAAGTTTAAAAGAAAACAAGTGAAAACTGATGTAACAGAACGAAGACTGAATGAATGGTAACTCTTGAAACTATCATTATGTATATTCTTATTGTCTAAATGTTAAACAACTGGACAACTGTTTTTATATTACATTTATTGTATTCTTCTAGTTAATACACTGACGATTACTATTCACCTTAATAATCCTAATTTATTACGATTCAGTTAGTTACAGCTTATCCAATCCCCTTGCCACTTTTCGCCCGTTTATGTATAACGTTGATTCTCTATTTTGATGGTGTGATATGGTCCAGTATGCTTATACATCAACACATGTATATTTGAGATGATAATATATATAAAAGTTTGACTACTGTCTTCTCCTTACGAACTCAAGGCTGGGGATATGAGAAAGGTTTATGTATCGGCAGGCTATCTTACGCTGAGCTTATGTTAGCTAAAGGTTAAACATGTAGGTTGAATCATATCATTGGTCAACACTAAGGATTCTGTACCATAAACATAATATCATGCAAGGCATAAAAAAATTATGGTCGGAATTCAGGTTCGCAAATCGAGTAAGTGATATCGATTAACCTTAGACAGCAAAGATCAGTAGTTTAAAAGGTTTTAATGGATCTGTTGTGTCATACGATCAATTGATTAATGTAGAGAATTGTTGGATGGTATATTCTAATTGTCATAGTAACGTGTTTCTCATGAAAAATCACTTTCTCTCATTCAATAAAAACACGTAGTTTCATGAAGATAGTCAATCTTCATCAGTGTTTTGAGTTTCATGTGGCATCATATTTAGATAACTGTCAAGGTTGTCTAATGAGGTATGAATTGTGTTTTGAATGCTCAAGTATATTTTATAATTATCAGAATGAGTTTTGTGGAGATTTTTAGACATTTCACAGGTTGAAATCATCAGTCAATTGAAGCTAGACCACTATGGAAAACCCGAAGGCATTGAACGGCTGTTTTCGTCCTAGTATGGGACTCCTCAGCAGTGCGCATCTACGATTCCGCACCCCGCGAGACTCGAATCCAGAACCTATCGGTCTCGCGCCAGGCGCTTAACCAACTAGACCACTGAGCCGGCACCCGATGGTGTTAATGTCTAACTTCAACCAATCCACGAAGTTACGCCACCGTACACCATTGTCTTCAGTGAATTCCTATCTCACAACAGACCTGGTTGAACTCCACTGGTAACGACTTCTTTTTTATAAATTAACTTTTAACATGTGATACGTTATAGTTTAAGTTCATTGACTGGCTTTACTTAGATGACCATTGAAAACCAGCAAGCACCAGACGGTTATTTTCTTCCTGTATAAGATTCATCATCCATGACCTGGTCAAAGCTTTCAGATATTTATATTAATAAACACGATTGTTGAATACACTATTTTCATTTTTAGAAAGGGGGTTTTGTAGTAATAATTTAATAGTTGAATTCATAAGTTCATTAAAGCTAGACCACTATGGAAAACCCGGAAGCACTGAACGGCTGTTTTTGTCCTAGTACAGGACTCTTCGACAGTGCGTATCCACGATCCCGCTCGCGGAATTCGAACCCAGGACCTATCGGTCTCGCGCACGAACGCTTCACCTTTAAAACACTGAGTCGGTATCCCATGGTGTTAATGTCGATTCGATCAATCAATCAGAATATGATTTAATTTTACACGGTGCTTTGATTGGTTTACAGGGATTGAGTATTTACAGCTTGTTACAACCAATGAAAACGCTGAATTCATCATGTTCGAATCCTATTGAAATTTTATGCATTAAGAATAATAATTTTATAATCATACATTGAACATTATTGATAAATCTTCTTAATTTCGTATTCTTAATATCTATTTAATGAGAAGAGAATTTGAGAATTTTGAATATTATCAGGACATGGTAGGTAAGTGGATAACGCGATGGTGTCTAAAGCGAACAGTATTGGGTTCGAGTCCAGGAGTGAATATCAACTCTGGGATGCAGCTACGTCCAGCTGACGAGTCCCAAATAGAACGAAACGTACGTTTTGAATTCCACTACTAGCCACCATCCATTTTTACTTGTAAAGTTTGTGACTTAAGGTAACATCGAGGCAATTCGTACAAGATGCCCATATGTCAACAAGAGACTGATCAATTGCAGTCCTAAACATCAGTAGGAGAATACAAGCAAAACAATATCAAGTGAATTATTAATGTTTACCTGAATTGATGTCATGCACTTTTCAACGCCAACCAAACGTTGAACAAAAATTGTTTGATCAGCTCGAATATGATTTACAGTTTCATATATGCTAGTTTGTAGCTAGAAAAGTTATTAAAGAAACAATAACAACAAAACAATTGGATAGCGAATAACATAGATGAAAACTATGAAAAGTAAAAAACAAAGTATTTTATTTTGACAGTTGAATTTTCGAGTCGATCTAAGCTAGATTACCTATGAAAACTGATCCCGTACGTGAGACTCGAACCCAGAACCTTCACTTTCGCATCAACGCTTGACCTCTATAACCGCTGAGCCGTCTTTCAACGGTGTTAATGTTTAACTTCAATCGATCCATGATCTTGAGTAACTGTCCATCCATTGTCTTAGGTGGATATTTATCTCCACCATACACGGATTGGACTCCACTGGTCACGGTTTCTCACTAGAACTCCAGGAATTCCATCTTTGAACTAGTCATTAGTGAACGAAACGGCCATCCATCGCTTTCAGGTTTTCAGTGGTGAACTCATGAATTCAACTATTAAAATCACTATAATCTATACAAATTCCCATTTCGATAATGTATTTTCTGTTTGATATTGCTCATAACATACATCGATATGAGTGATTGAAAAGTTTCTGCCGACCACTTGTCTTCACTATTGATGAAACTTTACTTTGTTCTAACGGTACAATTGATTTTATTAAAATTACTGCGACAATTCAAGTGATTGAACTGATACTTTTCTTCTGGAACCAACTTCTCCCATCTCAAATGAGTAGAAATCAGACGATACTAGTACTCTAAATCAACGGATAGATTGTATAATTGAAAGAATTGGAACAACTATTTCTGTTGTGATAGTTTATTAATTAATGGATGAAATAATTGGAACACTTATGTTAAGTTCAATGCAGTTATTGTATAAGTTGCAATTTAGCTTACTAGTTAGAATAAATCCATATCATATGGAATATGATTTGGAGCTAGGTGGTTGGAAGTAGTCAATAGAAAAACCTGGAGACTTAGGTTCTTAACTAGTCGTTATTCACTAATAAGGGGTATCTATCATGCTGCAACTAAAACATTCTAGCCTCTACTAACCCCCTGTAAGGCTGCTTTGTAAACAGTGCCTATATAATGTAGTTTATGTTGAAATGTATTATCACATATGTAAAAATGTTTCAAATCAAGCTTATGTGTATGGACAACAAATTGAAAATAAATGAATAACAAACAATCATAGTGAGACTATAATTTATAAACGAACCAATCAGGTATAAGATAACAGGATTCGGATTTCGGTGCGAAATTCACTGATCCATTTGGCTAAATAGCTTTTTAGCATTATAGCTGATATCAGTTCGTGATGAAACCCCCAAATCTTATTCCTAACCCTAACCATCAACTGTAAATCATAATCCTTATTTTTCAAACTGCTTTATGACCTTTACCTAGCCTACCTAACCTACCTACCTAAGTAGGTAGACACTCTCAAGGTCACTTTAGAGTCGCTCAAAAGTCATCCATAAATATTATAATCTCACCACAATTGATGATCATCATAAGTGAACATTTGCTTACTTTAGCTAAATCCACCATAGAATTAGCATCTTCTTTCAGTTTACGTTGATTATCCTTTGCTTTTCTTAATCTATTTAAATAAATTATAAAGTTTACAGTAAATGTATTTGATAAACAATAATCTGAAATAAATAGTCCAATAGTTAGTCAAGACATGAAGTTGAACATGTTTATACTAATGTATAAAACTATGATTGAAAAAGTAAGGTTGGGGCTATGCTATCATCTGGTTAGCGTTTTTTCAGCGAGTTACTTTTCTACGGGATGGGATCGCTAACCGCACCCAACCTTTCGCCTTTATCTCGTTTGGGACTGGCAGTAGCCCTAGAGGGGCTGCAGGCTCCAGCATGCACCAATCGAACCACACTTGACGGAGAAGATTTGTAGGATGTAAAACATTTACATATCTGGGCAGCATCATTGATGAACACGGTGGATCTGATACAGATGTGAAGGTGCGAATCGGCAAAGCAAGAGCAGCATATCTACAACTGAAGAACGTCTGGAAATCAAAACAACTGTCAACCAACATCAAAGTCATAATTCTCAATACAAATGTCAAGACAGTTCTACTGTATGGAGTGGAAACTTGGAGAACTACGGAAGCCATCATCCAAAAGATACAAGTGTTTATTAACGGCTGTCTACACAAAATACTTTGGATCCATTGGTCAGACACTACCAGCCACAACCTACTGTGAGAGAAAACAAACCAAATCCGAGCGGAGGAAGAAATTCGGAAGAAGCTCTGGAAGTGGATATGACATACATTGAGGAAAGCATTCAGCTGTGCCACAAAGCAAGCTACCCATTGAAATCCTCAAGGCCAAACGAAAAAAGGATGATCAAAGAACACATTACTACGTGAAATGGAGAATAAACAACAATTGGATAGAACTTGAAAGGAGGGCCCAGAACAGAGTGGGTTGGATTGTAACAGGTTGGGTTATAACTAAACAGATACAAAGTATAAGAGACTTTTTAGTCAAAATTGAAGCTGAACGGTTGTCTTAAACGTTTATGATCTTTGTGGTTTTCATGAATGTCTCTAAAATGTTTGATACATTTGAAAGTAACAGTTTTCTTTAATGAGTTATCTCCATAATGAGCCTTCAGTATTGAATGAATTTCTTGTTAGTTTAGTTGTTATATCCGTAGGTTAAGTTATGGGTAACTTCCTGGAAGTATTTATAGACTGTTATTACATATAAATATTCTTATTGGATAACTATTGCGTAACTATATTATATGTATATTCACATTCCTTGTATTATAAGCTTTCATTTGACCTGTTAACTATTATTATACGATTTACTATTCTTAAGTTATTCCCAACGCATTAGTTACAGCCTCCTATACTCACATCCGCTTTTGGCTTGATCTAGTATAATTGTTTTATTGTTTCATGGTGTGTTGGGTTCGGTTTGCTTGTATATGGTATAAACCGTGTATGTCTGAAATACAGTGGAGGCTGGGATTGCTTTCTGGACTCAACAAACAAGTCTATGCGAGAAGGACTAATAAGAACTGGGAGTTGATTCCGGATTGCTCGTACTAGTTAAAGCATCATTGGTTTGGTACAGTGCCAGGGTCTTATAAGTCGGTAATCTGATTGACAATCTTGTCATGTAATAATTAACAGGGCCAAAGTCATAATATTAGTTGTGTTCATAACTAACCATTTTAAATGACTAAGCTTCTGATGTAGAAAAAATAGAGTTATTCTTAAACACTACTTTTCTTTCAAATAGAACTTGGTAGTTGGTTGGAGAATGACAAGTCCATCACGTGGTTGACATTGCTTGATTGAATTAAAATACAATCTTATAGTTAACGCTACCCGTCAGCCAAATGGGCAGAGAGTTGTAGATTGTGTAGATAGTTCCCCGGTTTAAGTTTTATTGTAACCAATAATACTAGGATATAGGTATATATAACTGACGAGACCTATACAAGACGAAATACGAGGATCTGGATTCCACTGCTAGCTATATTTCAAAAATGTAATCAATTTTGTAACTGTAGACAGTCTTTAGACAGTCATTCAAGATGCACATATATATCAACAGAACATAACTGAAACATAATCTCAAACATCATAACAAGTGGAAATTATACAAAACTTTATTAATTGTGATCACAAATCGATTGAACTATCATGTTTGAAATTCATTGTACTTCATAAAAGTAACTAATCTATGAACAGGTTGTTATGTCCCGAAAAGCATAATGAATGGTAACTTTGGGATCCATTTATGGACCAATACTAAACGGATATTTTTATCGTATAATGGTGAAATAACTAAACTATTCATATTCATATTCCTCTTATTATAAGCTTCATTTTAACCTATGAACCATTATAATACGTTTTACCATTCTTGAATTATGCCCTGTCTGTTAGTCACTGCCTCCCATATTCATAGCCACATTTGGCCAAATTTTGTACAAATGTTATTTTCTGTTTTATGCTAGATTGTGGTCTGTTTGATTGGTGTATAAACTCATTATGTCTGAAATATAATGATTCATTTTGCAGATGCTGAGACTGGTGTTCTGGACTTAACTGACTGGGCTAGGCGGAAAGCAGGACCAATCAGGACTCTAGGCTGCTCGCACGTGTTTTACGCGTCCTTGGTCCGATCGATAATTCACTGCTCCCGAATCGGCGGTCACAAGTTATAACACAGGTCTAATCTTATGGGATGATTAGCCAACAGAGTTTATCTTCCACATAATTTCTAACATGATTCCGAGCAATTGTTTTATGTCAGAGAACAAGAACGCAATTTGAGGGCAACCAAATGTATTTGCACCCAACCTTACAGAACAACTTAATAAAATCTGAGAATCATACGGTAAATACTTCATTTGTGAAACGTCAATCAATCATGTCAGATTTCGTTGTTTTTTTGTTTCCACATCAATCATTCACTGTTCTCATTCTCTTTTCTTTGATCTTCATCTTCTAACAATAGACGTTTACACTTTCGATTAATGATATATACTACTTATATCAGTCGATATCAGTAGTATACATCACAACATTTTAAGATAATCAATAGATAAACCGTTTATTGGTTGTTTTTTTCCTAGTTTTTAATAACTTACCTACTTATTGCTGTTAAAAATTTTCTTTGATGCCTTCTTACTCGACCTGGTTTAACACGTTTGACAAGTCTTGTATATTTGTAAAATAGCCAAGTTTCACGTAAAACATTAGCAGCTGAATGTCGAAGCTAATTAAATAATTAATATCGGTTTAGGGGTTGTGAAGATTGCTAAGTTTTTGATTGAAATCATGAGTCAAATGAAGGTAGACCATCATGGAAAACCTGGACGGCCGTCCAGTGCTTCTAGGTTTTCCATGGTGGTCTAGCTTCAATTGACTCATGATTTCAGTCATAAATATTTAATAATTGTAATAAATAACAAAACAAAGGGGGTAGATATTAGGGGAAAGAAATAGGAAAGTTTTGAAAGTATTCACTTATTCTTTTGAAAAAAGATTACGGATTCATGAAGGAATCTTTTTAGTTTTGCATCATCTGATCGCTATATAGTAACCAATCTACATACTTACTTACTTATTGTTACCCCTCGTCCAGGCGCGTAGGCTGACCACAAGTATTCTCCATCCAACACTGTCTTGGACAATCATTTCTAGTTACTACTCATCCTTTTCATGTCCGCTTTCAATTCTCAGCGCAGTGTGTTCTTCAGCTTTCCTTTTTTCCATTTCCCTTCTGGATTCCAAATTAGCGCTTGCCTCGTGATGCGGTTTGGTGATTTCCGAAATGTATGTTCTATCCACTTCCAAATTCTTCTCCTAATTTCTCCTTCAGCTGGAAGCTCGTTTGTCCTCTACCACAGTAGGTTGTCGCTGATGGTATCTGACTAATGAACATTGAGTATCTTCTGTAGAAAATTGTTTATAAATACTTGTACATGTTTGATGATGATTGCGGTAGTTCTTCGCGTTTCAACTCCTTACAGTAGAACTGTCTTGACTTTCGTCTTGGAAGCTCTGACTTTGGTACTGGTTGACCGTTATTTTGAGTTCCATATGTTCTTCAATTGTAGGAAGGTGGCCCTAGCTTTGTCAATCTTTGCCTTCACATCTGCATCAGATCCACCTTATTCGTCGATTATTCAGTCCAGGTGCGTGAAAGTTTCTAGGTCTTCCAAAGTTTCTCCATCAACTGTGATTGGATTGGTGTTCTTGGTGTTGTATTTGAGGATCTTGCTTTTTCCCTTGCGTATACTGAGGCCTACTAATATAGAGGCTGTTGCTACACTAGTTGTTTCCATCTGCATTGGTTGGTGTGTATGGGATAGAAGAGCTGGGTCATCTGTGAAGTTCAAATCTAGTAATTGATATCTATATATTACTAATATTTTGAAATCTACTTACTTAAGCATTCATACTTAGTGATCACTGAATTGTAAGAAAATCCGTTACTAATTAATCTCATTTGGAATACCTTTAGAAAGGAATAAGAAATCGATAGCTATTTTGTTATAGTATTGGTCTTTTTTAGGCAATCACGATCTTTCTAGGGATTACACTTTGATACGGTGGGTTCATATTTAAAACACTGCTGAGAATCTCCATACTCGGATGACACATTTAATGATGTAAGCAATCAATTTCAACAATTGTCTACGCAAATAGTCAAAGAAATGAGTTAATCTATGATTGTGGAAGAAAGTGTTACTATGGATAAGTAGTTAATTCATTTCACTTTCAATTCGTTTATCTAACACTTTAACATCGTTAATACATACTACTATCTGGCTGACAGAGTAGTATCATTCATCGTTATATACAACACATTTAAACTTGAAGCGGAATACATAAACTGTAGAAATAATAATATAAACAATCAATCCAACGATGTATACCTATACTTATGAACGTACATTTTTGTAGAATTTATTATCTTGCATAAAATTGTGTACATGTTTCTCAGCTCTTGTTAATTCTAGCTTACGTGCAACCACTGCAACAACCAATGCTGTACATGCAGATCCCTGTAGAGATATCAAGACAAAAAAAAGAGAGGAAAACCAAGGAATACATTACATCGGGAATTGGAAGCAAATATTTAAAGAATGAATAGAATAATGGTAACAACTTGAAAAGATTTCTCATAACATAGTTCGATGGAGAATCTTAATGAGTGGTCTATGCTTCTCGATGAGAGATAACAGGCGTAAGGAATAGTAAGATTCATAGTACTCTTTATCTTGAACTTTTACATACGTAACACATAACAAGTAGGTTAGATTGGTTTTATTTGGTTGAAGATAAGTTATTTTTTTATCGGTTAATTTATTGTCTTGATAATGTTCAGTTAACTAGTGAGTAATTTTTTGATTAAGCTTACAAACCGATCGATGTTAGGCCACCACTGAAAACTGGATAGCATTGAACGGCCGTTTTGTCCCAACATGTGACTCCTCAACAGTGAGCATCCACGCTCCCACACACGGGACTCGAACTCAGGACCTCCAGTCTCGCGCATTGACGCTTAACCTCTGGACCACTGAGTCAGCACCCAACAGTGTTAAGGTCCATACTGGTGACCAGTGAATAAACACAGATGTGTATATGATAAAGTATACAAATAATATTTCTTGTGGTCGGTATAAACGTATTTCACACACACTTTCTCTTTTTATGTCAACATTGTATTGGCTGGACAATTGTAAATTATAGTCACACTATACACATAGAGGCTTGTCAGTAATTTTACAAATCGTAAAAGGAAATTTATCAACTAGACTAATTCACAGAATATGGTGGTGTATCTGACACATTCTTATTGGATTATTGACTATATATCAGGAGGGAGTTTTGTGGAGATTTTAGTAACTTAATAGTTGAATTCATGAATCAATTAAAGCTAGATCACCATGGAAAACCTAGAAGCACTGGATGATCACTCCGCCTTAGTATGGAACTTCTCAGCAATGGCCAAAAGGTTAAGCGTTCGTGCGTGAGACCGATAAGAAATGGGTTCGAACCCCGAGTGCAGGACAGTGGATGCGCACCTCTGAGAAGTCCCATACTAGAACAAAACTGTTGTCCAATGCTTCCAGGTTTTCAATGGTGGTCTAGATCGTATATACTCGTGATAAAAATATTAAGAATAAAGTACATAAGTTTTAACTAAATAAATTTAATAGGTTGAAATCATCAGTCAATTGAAGCTAGATCACCATGGAAAACCTGGAAGCAGTGTTTGACGGCCGTTTCGTCCTATTGTGGGACTCCTCAGCAGTGCGCATCCATGACCCCGCACCCCGCGGGATTCGAACCCAGGATCTACTTGATATAAATCAAAAAACCAATTTGAATGCTGTTTAATTGAAATGTTGTCTCAGTTACGTAATCGAAATTGTCCCAAAATCAGGTTTGTTCGTTACAAAGCATCGAAATAAGTTATTACCTTATTCTTATTAATAATATGGTTTTAGAATAGATCTCTAAAAGTTCTAATATGAAGGTGTAATAAGTACAGTTCAGTCATGTCAACAGTGAGAGATATATATTATCAATCAAATGCTGAATTATAATCACATGGTTTCATGAATTGATCAAGTTAAAAATGCGAACTTATGAATTCTCAATATAGAGTGATCTTATCAGAGTATATAAAATGATGTAAATCCTAGAGGTTTTGGGTTAGACCGTTTCTAAATTGGTCGTTGTGGATGGATAAAGAGTACTAATCCAAGATAAAACTATTACTCATCATTATCTCATTTTCTATAACTTTTCAGCTAATGTTAATCTAAAACTTAAAATTATCGTCAAACTAAACTGCTTTCATTGCATTACATAATTTATTATACATTTGTTTATTTTCCCTACAATAGAAAATCTCTACAGGTTAAAAAATTTCTCTAATCTAGTATTCGTGGATTAGTTGAGGTTAGACATTCACATCGTTGGATGCCGGTTTAATGGTCTAGAGGTCAAGCGTTCCCTTACGAGACTGATAGATCTTGCGTTCGAAACTCGTGTGGCGGGATCGTGAATGTGCACCGCTGAGGAGTCCCATGCTAGAACGAAACAGTTGTCCAGTGTTTCCAGGTTTTTCATGGTGGTCTATCTTCAATTGACTTATGAATTAAATTATTATCTTTTAGATAGTATAATGTTTATTTATATTTTCTATTTAGATCGTATCTTCGATTTCTAATCTTTTCTGTTACAATTAACACTATTACTATCATTGCTACTATGAGATTTACAGGAAAAGTTTCATCTTACTGTTCCAAGCCAATATGGAAACTTGAGTCGATGTAAAAATGTGCCAGGTTCTACGTTATGCTTAACCAATTGAGTGACTGACTGATTATCCTGTTGGAAATCTACATCATTATTTATGTTATAATGGTGTTTTAGTCAAATAATAATAATAAGAACTTACCATAACACCAGCTAATACAGATATTGCTCTGCCACAATTTGTATTTGGCACCATATCACCATAGCCAATACTTAAAAATGTAACAGCAATTAACCACATTGAATTTAAAAGTTTCTCATATTCTTTATTTTGTTCTCTGTTACGAAAGAAGAATGAAAAGTTTAAAGGTAAAACCGATTTGAAAGGATGAATATCTTTTTTACAACCGTTGATACAATCATCATTTCTACTCCATTGGTATAGTTATCTATCATGATAATTCTCAACATAATCTCAATACGGTGTGTAAACTTGAACTTATACATATATCTACTAAGATTTATGTATGTCTATGATCAACTGAATTATTACTACAGATCTTAGAGCTGAACATCATAATCAAATAAGGCCATATAACGGTAGATTGATGTTTTTTCAGATATTTTACGATCGAATTTATTGTCAGAATGATAGTTTGTGGAGATTGTTGTAACACTTTAATAATTGAAATTATGAGTTGATTGAAGCTAGATTAGTACTGAGAACCTCGAAGCATTGGACTATTCTCTCGTCCTTGTATAAGACTCCTCATCAGTGGGCATACATGATCCCCTGTCAGTTGCAAGGCAGCCACTCTCTAAAGACAATATAAGACGGTCGCGCAATATCGTGGATTGATTCGTTGGTTTATACATTTCACTATGTATATTAAAGGTATCTGGTCGAGGTTGACAGTTTTTGCGACCTTACAATGGCTCCAGAGGCCGTTTATTATGGAGTTATATGGATGATTTCTTCTACCTTATGCATTACGATTTTAGAATCTCTAAACCTCTTTCTAACCTTGAAAAGTTTTTGAACCATGTAAAACAACTGTATCCACTTTAATACTTTGGCTTTATATTATATACTTCTATTCCATACCAACTGTTTTCTGATTGGCTAATACTCTTCAAGGTCATTTAAGATTCATTCAAAGGTCGCCATACCCGACTGGTGTGCTAGTTTGATTTTTTGTTGTTATAATATTAACTACTTATAAGTAGTCAAATTTATAAACTGAAAGAAATCGACAACTTACCTTTCACATACACGCATAATCCAACTTGTTACAATCCACATAGATAATATAAATATTAATAACATAGTACCGGGACATACTGTAGCTAATGTTTTTAATACAAATCTAACATTAATTTTCACACGATTCAATGCACCAATACTACGTGAACCAGCATCAGTAAACATAGTTGAATGTAATAATAATACACGAAATATTAAATATAATCTTAAAAACATTGGAATTGAAAAAGTCAGTTCTAAAATAATCATAGGTACAGGTTTATCATCATAATGATATTCATTATGATGATCATTTATAAATGGTACACTTGAAAATGGTAAATAATCATTTAATCTTTGTGTATGATTATCTAATATGGAATCATAGATTGATGTAGTTATTGGTCTATTATAATATGAATTCATTGGAATACTGGATGATGATGATGAGGATAAGGGTTCTTGATCATTCAGAACATCATCAAATTGTTTAAAACTTTTTAATGTTGATGCAGTATAATATGAATTTCTATATGAATATATATTGTAATTAGATAGAATTGGTGGAGGATGTACAAGACATATAAATACTTCAATTAATGTTAATGAAATTTTTCTACAATTCATTGCTATACGCCAATCTTCAATACAATTATTAATACAAAATAACTACAATAAGAAAGAAGAAAGAGAAAAAAGGAATACTTTAACGATAAATCAAGAAGAAAAAAGGTCAAATGATTGTATACAGGGAGGTTGATTATGAATACAGTGGTCTTGAGTGCTGTTAGAGGTCTGACGGCAGTTATCACTTCTCGGTCGCTCACACTGTGGAAGGGTTCTTCTAGAGGTACCTGAAAAGGAAATTGGGTTAGAGTTGGTTTTATTGACCTGAGAGCGTGACCGCAGTACCCAATGGACAACTGCTTGAGGTCGGTCACACACGACCATTTTATGAGTAATTTTTGTGTTAGCTCCGTACTTGTTGAGACCTTACCACTGGAGACGGATATCCGTTGGATAAGGTGAGATGTGCATTTTTTGAATTGACCATTTCTAACTCCACCACTCTTTGTGGGAAGGCAGCATCGCTGTCATGCTGTTTGTCTGGAGAAACCGCCTTACTGCTGTCACACCTGTACAGTCAGTAGTACGACTTCACCTTCGGACCTTGGGTTTGTTGCTTCTAGTATTACCGCTCTTCAACCGACCTGTCTGACATGGTAGGACTTTGAGGAACGGTTGTTGCAGCCAGTATAGCTCGGTTGCTTCATCACGATAGGCAAGCTCGACCACCACGTCAAGGTAGCAACAACGGTATATTAGAATACGATATATTCATTAGTTCATCAGTAATAGTGTGGTGTGATCTGCTTATATCTGCATAAATAGCATATTTCGATGATCAGGAATAGAATGTATTTTAGTAGAAGATCGAGAAGGAAACAACAGGAACGGAAAGCAATTGGTATGCCAATGTACAAACAATGAAATCTGAGATAATGGATTGATATTTTGCAAATTAACTATTTACTTTATGGTTCTCAGCTCTTCATTAGATATTTTGTAATTTCGTGTTCGAATACATTCCATTACCCCATTCTTGTTCCTATTCAATACAATAGCAGTGAATGTATTGTTCAACGATTCATTCTGAATAATTTTAACCATATGAAATATAAATTCTGAAGGCTGAATACATGTTTAAGTGACATGCATTTCATCGTGGAAGCCTTTGAAGTGTCTCTAGTATATAGTAGAACCATCAAAGAAGATTGTAGTAACGAGTGTAATAAATGTTCACCTTTGAGTCCATTTCTGAAGGATAATAATAGTAAACATAGACATTAGTTGATTAGAAGACTGAGAGGAACTATTCGACTAAGTTGTATTGAACGATACAGATTTCTTAGTTTGGATTTATAAGATAGTCATAATTTTCAGTTGAAGACCTCATGTGATGTAACTCAGATTAGATAAAGTGAATATATTCAGTCTTTATTTTTACCAAAAAAAAACATTTGATCATTATAACTATTGGGCTTTGTTTGTTCGTATTGAAGTTCCGTTGTTTGACGCTCTCAATTGGATTGTAGTTGTATCAGAAGACTAGAGGGGTGACTATTAGAATGGTTATATGGATAATGTTATAAGTTCCGATTATTGATCTTCATTATATCAGCTGTAATTCATCTACATCTAGATCCTACTCACTACTATTCATTACCTTGAAAACTCCACCTGAAGCCCACGCCCAGATGAAGGAGGAGGAGGACGAGGAGGAGCATTGGTAGCTCACTAGCAAATTTAATTATTATTAATAATAAAGAATTACAACAAATTTCATGTTCCAAGTTTTCATTCTGTTTACAATTAACCGATTAATGTTAAGTAACTTAATGGTTTAGAATAATTGACTCATAGACAATTAATATAATCCACTAAATACTTAGGTTATAGTGTAGTGAACGAGAACACAAGTGAGGGACAATCGAAGGTAATAAAATCTGAGAATCATACAGTAATTACTTTATCTGCAAAATGTCAATCAATCGTTTCAGACTTCACTATTCTTTGATTTCGACGTCAATCATTCTTTGTTCTCGTTCTCTTTTTCTTCAATATTCTTAACCTCAGTTCGGATATTTTACTTTCTATTGATGTTACATACTACTTATATTTGTCGATATCAGTAGCAGACACAATAAAAGATTATCTAACTGCTTTCTAAACTTTCGTAAATGTACAATTTTTGAATAAATTTCATAAGTGAAAATAGTTCATTCACAGAAAGTAAAGCATATTAACACTAGGGATTTTGAAGTTCCAGGAGCTTTGATACTACTCAACAGTGTATCATAATTAGCAGTGTACATCCTTACAGTTGTTATTGTTGATAGGTTTCAAATTATTACTTAGTTTTTGATTGAGATCATGAACCGATTGATATTAGACCACTATTGAAAACCTAGAAGCACTGGACAGCCTTTTCGTCCTATTGTGGGACTCCTCAGCAGTGTGCATTTTACGAGTCCGCTGAATATGAATAAGTTCAATTAACTAAATTTAAAATATTAGCACAAGTATCATATGGGGATGAGTATTAACCCATTATTACTGAACTAGCAAAAAACAGTTATTGTGTGGTGTGTGCTAATTATGTCTGCGTCACAAGACAAGCCCTCACATGGAATCCTCATGGCCAAAGGAAAAGAGGAAGACCAAAGAACACATTACGCCGGGAAATGGAGATAGACATGAGAAAAATGAACAAGAATTGGATGGAACTGGAGAGGAAGGCCCAGGACAGAGTGAGTTGAATAATGCTGGTCGGCGGCCTATGCTTCATTAGGAGTAACAGGAGTAAGTAAGTAAGTAAGTAGTATGTAACACTAGTCAGGAATAAAATGTCTGGTCACAGAAGGTTGAGAAAATCAAGGAGGAAAGAACATGAAGTGAACCCAATTGGTATAAAAATCTAGGAACAATCAAATGTAAGACAACTGATTGACATTTTACAGATAAAGAAGTTACTGTATGGTTCTCAGATTTTACTAAGAGTTTCTGTAATTTTGATGTTTATATACATTTGATTGTCCCCACTTGTGTTTTCGTCCCCAAAATAGTGAGATTTAGTTGTTAAACTGGATACCATAAACAACAATATATATATATTTCGATACACAAAAGCACACAATGAGAAAGGATAAATGTTCAAAACAAACACACAAACAAAAATCAAATTCAGCTACCTTAACAGTGATGATATAAAAAGAAATGGCTTACAGATGAATACATAAGTCTGTACTAGATGAATGTTTGACTAGTGTAGGGGATGGTTGGAAGAAAGTTAGAGACGGCCAAACCAAAACATATCATCAGTCCTTGAACTCACTAATTTCTAGTCTGAGCCATGTTGGTAGATGCAGACTACTTGGTTACGGTTCGTAAGACTATCGTAACCAATGGTTGGAGACTCTGTGTAACATGGCTCAGAATCGATTACAATGGCGTCACTTTATACCTTTCTTTTTACGAACTAATTCTTTCTTTCTGTACTATATTCTTATATGCAATCTTTCTTTTATATATTACCACCATTGAACTAACTACTTCTATGTAATCGGTGTTCATCTTGTTGTGTTAATGAGGTATGGCAACTTGGACCGATGCATATATTTGCCTGGTCCTACGTTGTAGCTGACTGACTAGATGAATGATGAGTGCATACAATGTTCATACATATATATTTTAGTGTCGGTCGTTATGTTAAGTCCACATAGCTTGTTCTGGCTTCCAGATAAGCCAACTTATCCATTCACTTCAAACGACATTTTAGTCTTGTTAATTATTCACTTATCAATATCAACTGTTTTTATGTAAGCGTATGTGTGCACATTCCATTTCCTATTCACCACACGTTTGTAACTTATTTTCGTTCAACTATATATGTCTATTAACGCTTGGTTAAATTTAGTTATGTCGCTCATCTTCACCATTGTGTATCGTTTTGTTTCGCTTCGCTTTCTGATCAATGATAATACGAAGTATACATATTTAAAAATCCATTATCGTATGTGACTTACCTAATTCTGTTATTAGATGGTGGTTGGAGGTAGACGACGGGAAACCCTAGACCCGGGTTTCGTAATTCGATCGGGATCGAATCCGCCAGGGAGCACTAGTTCTCTCAAAATTACAGGTACACCTTGCTGACGAGTACCAAGTAGCACGAAACCCGAGTCCAGGGTTTCCTGTCGACTACCTCCAACCACCATCTAATCTCAATATATAGTGCCCGCAGTGTCGAGTCATCTAGACTGGTGGCCACATTGCAACATAATCGATAGCATTCGATCTGCACTAATAAGGGATAGACACACATGACATTAATCACCACCCAGTGATCAATCAATTGTGATAATTCCGTTATTCACTAACGCGATCTAAGTCGATGATAATATACGAGGATTAGCGGAATGTATGTTTCAATAATAATCAATCATACGATCTAATTGGAGTCAGATCTTGGGCCGCCAATATATACATATGTATTTATAAGAGTATGAAATTCAATACAAAATGAAAATCTACCTACTTGTACATCAACAGCATGATAGACTAGTGTAAGACCAACTAGAATAAGTGTTGATGCACTGATCAATGATTTTACCAGTATAGAATAGATTGATGTCTATAGATGAAAGAAAAATGAAACAGAATAAATAAGAATATAAATCAATAATTTTTTATAATGTAAGTTTCTATTACAACTTCGCCTGGAGTCCCTCCGGGGGCTACTGTCGGTCCCAAGCCCGGATAAAGGAGGAGGGTTGGGCATGGGGTTAGCGACCCCATCCTGTAGAAAACTAACTCGCTAAAAAAAACGCTAACCAGAAACAGTTTCTATTACGTAATCTATTCAATGTTTATGTTATATCCTAGTGAAGATTAAACTACAAGTAACTTCTGAGACCTATTAATGAAGTAATATTCTATATATATATATTCTTATGGTATAACTAAACAGTAATTAGATTGTGTATATCTATATTCCCCTTCTTATAAACTTTATTTTGATCTATAGATTATTGTTGTAACGGGTGGACTGCAGGTTAGATGCGCAGCGTATTTATCGATCAACTCAATGACACGTAAAACACGTAAGGACGACCTAGAGTCCCGACTGGTCCCGCTTCCCTGTCTAGCCCAGCCAATCGAGTCCAGAACGCAAGTCCCAGCCTCTGAGTTATGAATCGTTATATTTTAAACATACTCTACTTATATACCAACCAAACAGACCACATCGTACCATAAAAATAGAAAACAACATCTGTACAATATTTAACGAGTGAAATAAATAACGGCCAATAGGGAATGCCCATTTAGAGTCCAAGGACATCATTAGACTTAACATGATAATGATTGGTATATTCCTCAGCATCCCTAACAATTATTATTGTACAATTTACTGTTCTTAAGTTGTATCCAATGTATTGATTACTGTCTTTTAACCAATATCAAAGTCAGAATCTTCAATATGAACGTCAAAAAAGGTTTACTATACTGAGCTGAAACTTGGAGAACTACTACAACCGTCATCAAGAAGGTACAAGTATTTATAAACAATTGTCTACGCATAATACTCAATATCTATTGACCGGATACCATCAACAACAGCCTTCTGTGGCATAGAACAAACCAGCTTTCAAGTGAAGAGGAAATGAGGAAAAGACGTTGGAAGTGGATACGACATATATTGAGGAAATCATTAAACTGTTTCACGAGGCAAGCCTTATCTTGGAATCCTAAAAAGAAATGGAAAAGAGAAAGGCTGAAGAACACACTGCTTTGGGGGAAAGAAGCAGATATGAAAAGGATGAATGACAATTGTAAGAGACTAGAAAGGATTCTCCAGGACAGCGTTGGATGGAGAATACTGATGGGCGTCCTATGCTTCTCCACGAGTGGTTATAGGCGTAAGTGAAGTAAGTACGTATTTAATTCATATCAGTGTGTGGTACAAAGAACAACTTGAACGGATTTACAGATTAGTGACTTTTTCAAGTCAGTACTTTTAAGGTGAAACTATGGTGTTGTAGTGACCTACTTTTGTCGAGAGAACGCGATTGGTGTAATAGAAACTATTACTATAACCAATTGTACCAGGGATATATTCCACACTTTATTCGAGAAATTTCCCCAATTAACTATTCATCTCACTGACCCGGCTGCTTTGTACGGAACGCATACGCACTACCGCCTACCACCCAGCTTCAAATGGTTAAGTTGAACGGTTTTATCGCCAACTTAAAAGTGCTCTTCGAGCGCACGAAAACAACAAATTGTACGAAACCTTACCGCTCGTCCTCTTAAGTATCAGAACGAGCTTAAAGGCAGATATTCAATGTTTTGCAGCTGAAGTTGTATACGGCACGATATTGCGTCTGCCTGGGGAATTTTTCATACCACAGAACAGTAACTATTTTGGTAAATCAGACTGTGTCCAACGACTGTCTGAATTTATGCGAACGCTGTCTCCGGTGTCAACTTGGATACAACATCAACGGGTAGCTCTCTCCCGAGAGTTATCTACCTGTTCAGCATTGGTCGTCTCAAACCAGCACATGTCGATGACAGTGCCCTGCCTGATAAGTTGGGACTCAATGCTAGACCCAACAAACCTTCTAGCGGGATCTCTACATCTACCTCGGATCTTCTGCTAGATACATCAGAGACCTCATTCTCACGTCCCGGTCAACAGCAGGTGTCATCTGCACCATCTTCGGACGAGACTTCCGTCTCACGTCCAGATCAGACGAACACGTCTCCCGTGACTTTGGACGAGGTTGCAGGATCACGAAGTACGAACGAGACTACCGTCTCACGTTCCGGTCGCCGAGTACGCCTACCCGTACGCTTTCGCGACTAACCGCACAACCAACAACGGATACGGTGTAGGACTATTCCTATACTACATGCATGCTACACCTTTTCTCCTTTTCTTTGATTTTTTTTGTACCCTGAGACCACGCCTCCAACCATCGCTCGTTTGATAGTGTCGACCTCAGTCAACTTTGGTGAAAGCTGGCCTGATCACCCACACTCTTGTCAACGCACTCAGTCGATATTTTGGTTCCGAATATATCTGGCATATATTTGGTCTTGCGCTTGGTTGTTATGGTCGCTTCTGGTTTCTTGGCTCAAGGTGGTTTCGTCCTATGTCTGCAGCGTTTTCTGGTCCGGACCCCTACGAACACAATCTTCAGATCCTAGATACAGACCACTCTGGTGTGGTACGCTAAATCAGGCAACAGATACGGCATGTTTCCTTTGGTACCGTTCTGCGTAAAAGACCTTCAGTGGCAACTCAAGGATCAACGATTACTTCCTGTTCTGCCAACCCTTTCTTCCTACAATCGCACGTTTGCCGATCAGTCCCACGAACTAAACCTCTATGTATCGAAAGTGTAAACCATTTCTAACGAGGGGCTCCTGTAGTAACCTACTTTTATCAAGAGAACGCGATTGATGTAATCGAAACAATTATTATTATAACCAATTATACCAGGGATTGTTTTACTGTACTTGTTTGTTTAACTGTACGAAAACACATACTTCGTTCCGTTTATTGTGGTCTTGCACGGATTCGGTTACGCTCAGTAACCACACTTGTAACCTGGCAAGATCTCGGTATTCTTTCGATACCGCGAGGTCGCCAACAAATACATCTCGACTACAGCCATCAACCGACTTCTGATATTTGGCTTACGGGGGGTCTTATCGGTTAACTGGCACGTAGTCTTCCTGTAGTGGTGATCATAGTCAATCGCGACTCGACGCCGCACTACATTGTAATACATTAAATTAATTAAAGTATCAAATTTATTGAAATGCATATTATAACTTATAGTTAAAATCTAGCTGTCAGTCATTTCGGATAATAACTATCTGGATAAGATGCTGATAGGAGTGATTTAGTTCACAATAGTATAAACTTGATTTCCAATCAGACTATCTTACTATACTATCCATTAAATGTTGCAGTAACTATGTAGTGTATGAACAAAGATGGATGGGATACATGACGTGCGCTTCGTTCAACTTAGGACCTATTAGCTGGATGTATGTGCATCGCAGAGTTGATATTGACACCGGAACTTGAAATCAGTAACGTTCTCTTCAAAAGCCCTTGCGTTATCCACTTAGCTACTGAGTTTTAATACGCACCCACATGTAAACGGGTATGAATTTTCATTTACTTTGTAATGGTTTATATGACCTCGTCGTTGATATTTTAACTGAAATTAAAACATTTTTAGTTTCATTATACGTAAGAGTTGGCAAATGCGCGTATATTAGTATTCAGCGAGATAAGTACTGCAATCAACTCCAAGTGTAGACAACGAGAACAACATTAGGGTGCAGCTACATTCAGTTGACAAATCCTAAGTAAGATGGAACGTGTATATTTGATTTAAAAGCTAATCACTATCTCACTAGTTGAAATCATTAGTCAATTGAAACTAGACCACCATTGGATACCTGGAAGCACTGGACGGCTGTTTCGTCCTAGTATGGGACTCCTCAGCAGTGTGCGCCCACGATCCCGCCCCCGGCGAGATTCGAACCCAGGAACTATCAGTCTCTAGACCACTGAGTCGGCATCTAACGGTGTTAATGTCGGACTTCAACCAATCCACAAAGTTACTCCCAGGTTTGCCATGGTGGTCTAGCTTCGATTGACTCATGATTTCAACCAGTGAAATTTCTAAAAAAAATCCCCACAAAACATCTTCTGATAATCACTATCTGTCTGGATAGTGTATTAATCTAATGAAAATTAATCTGTTTGTTAAGATGTCTATTCTACCGTTTACATCACTGGGTGGCTATAACTATAGAACAATTCAAAACCAAGAGAGACTGAAAAGTTGTTTTGTCTTAGTGCGGTATCCTTGGCAATGCTTATCCACAACTAACAGAGACAAATAAAAACCAGGATCTCCAAGTTTCACAGTAAACGATTTACCATCAGAACTTTGAGTTATAATATAAATATCTGAATTTCTAACTTGAATCCTGTAGTGGAATTCTAAAACTATCAATGGCTTCCCAGTGGCGAGACTCTAATTTATGAACGACCTTTGAACGAATCTTAAGTGGACTTGAGAAATATTAGCCAATCAGCAAACAGTCAGTGTAGAGTAAAAATATATTATACAAAACCAAGGAAATAAAGTGGATACACTTCTTATACGTGGTTCAAAACCTTGTCAAGATTAGAAAGAGGTTCAGAAGTTGTGAAATCGTAATGCATGCAGTAGAGGAAATCATCCATACGGCTATAGAATAGACTATAGTCAGCCTCTGGAGCCATGATAAAGTCTCAAAAACTCTTTCAGCCTCGAATACATAGTCCCAATATTGTCTATGTGCACTCCGGTTGTTGAGTGCACAAAATGCTACTTGTGGATAACGACACGCTCTCCAAACATCCGTATATATTGTAGTACCTGACTGCATCCAGTGTTACTGGTGCCTTTATTATCCAGTTCGCAATAATTGTCATAATTTGCCTTAGTTAGGAATTATATATGGGGTTTTCATCATGAACTGACATAAGCTATAATGCCAGAAATTTATTTAGCCAAATGGATGAAAGGCTTTCGCGTTAAAATCCGAGATCTATTATCTTATACCTGATTGATTCGTCCACAAATTATCGTCCCGCCGTTTTATTTGTTATAGCCGCTCAATTATCACGTTTTGTACTAAATTCGTTGTGAACCCGTCGTACGTTAGCACTAAGCACTGAAGTTGGCATCGTAACCTTGAAATCACTAAAAAGCTTCCGATTGGCTTGTCCATAAATTAGAGTCTCGCCGCTCTAAACTAAAAAAATATCAGATGGGTTAAGTGCTCGGGCGCGAAACCAGTAGGTCCTGGGTTCGAATCTCGCAGGGGGCGAGGTCTTGGATGCGCACTGCTGAGGAGTCCCACAATAGGACGAAACGGCCGTCCAGTGCTTCCAGGTTTTCCATGGTGGTCTAGCATCAACTGACTCATGATCTTAACCATTAAAAAAAATATGTCTATTTGACTAATTTTATAAGCTTAGCGAAAAGATTCAGTATCTTACTTTATTCGTATAATATAATAATACATACCCTTAAATATACTTTAGCCATAATCATTTCTAATTCAAATACCATTAATAGAATACCCATTACAGCAAAAAATAATGAATAATCAGCTAATTTTCTACGTCTTTCATTAAATATTTTACGCCAATGTAAACGCCAACCAATTCCACGATTTGATGTTTTATAATTCATTGTTGGTTGAACTGAACCAAGTGGACCACTAGTACCATATAATGAACGTAAATCTTCTGCATTACGACGTATTTTAGCACGTATACCAATTGGTCTATTTGTTTCATCATTATTATTATTATTATTATTATTCGTTTCAAATATATCATTGATCTCATTTAATTGTTCAGATTGTAATGAAGATTTTTCACTATGGATCATTCGTTGTGATTCATTATCGATTAGTTTATGTAATTCTTCACTTTGTTGTAGTTGTTGCTGCTGTTGATGCTGTTGTTGACGATATTGTGTTGATTGTTCAATAGAATGCGATTCATGTAGATGATCATCTTTTCTATTGAATTGTTCTAATTGATCTAATTCACAGATTGGATCTATTGAATTATATGAATGATTATCATTCTCTTCATTTGTATTCAATATTGGTGAGATAGCAATTTTTGCTGTATTTCTAATAATTGCTTGTTTAATACTATGAGGTATTAAATGATGATCAGTTTTGTTACTATTACTACTACTATTATTATTTTGAGTAGTAGTAATAGTAGTAGTAGTAGTAGTATTAGCGATAGTACGAATATTACTTCCATCATGATTAGGTCGATAAGTACTATTACTGTGAACAAGATTATCAGTTTCATGAAGTGAATAATGGGCTTTCTGTCGATGAGTAACGTTTGGATGATGGGTAAAACTGGTTACTAAAACAAAACAAAAACAAACACACACACACACACAACAAAAACAAAGTAAATAGGAATGATTTAAATCGCTAGCAAATGATAAAAGAAAGAAAATTCGGCAAAAATTATATCGATCTAACTTGAACCAATCGAATTACACTTGACGGAGAAGATTTGGAAGATGTAAAAACCTTCGCATATCTGGGCAGCATCATTGATGAACAAGGTGGATCTGATGCAGATGTGAAGGCGCGAATCGGCAAAGCAAGAGCAGCATATCTACGACTGAGGAACATCTGGAACTCAAAACAACTGTCAAGCAACACCAAAGTCAGGAATTTCAATACAAATGTCAAGACAGTTCTACTGTATGGGGCAGAAAGCTGGAGAACTACGAAAGCGATCATCCAGAAAATACAGGTGTTTATTGACAGTTGTCTATGCAAAATACTTCGGATGTGTTGGCCAGACACTATCAGTAACAACCTACTATATGAGAGAACAAACCAAATCTGAGTGGAGGAAGAAATCAGGAGAAAGTGCTGGTAGTGGATAGGATACACATTGAGGAAATCACCGAACTGCGTCACAAGACAAGCCCTCACATGGGATCCTCAAGGTCAAACGAGAAAAGGATGTTCAAAGAACACATTACTTCGAGAAATAAGGATAGACATAAGGAGAATGCACGACAATTGGATTGAACTAGAAAGAAGACCCAAGATAGAGTGTGTTGGCGAATGGTGGTCGGCTCTATTGGCAGTAACCGGCCTAAGTATGTAAGACTCGTATTCGGTTACCGTTAGGTTATCTAGTTCTAGGTTTAAGAATAATAAGTATGTTCACATAAATTATATTGATCAATTAATTAATTTAGTGTAATTTTATTATCGATTAAATCAATCAGAATCAAGTTAGAGATTTAGTTTTTTTGTGGCGAAAATTTAAAACCAGCACTATCTTGGGCGAGAATATAATTTATGAGTGAACCAATCAGATTTATGATAACAAGTCTTGAATTTTGGCGCGAAACTAATTCATTCATTTCGTTAAAGAGTTTTGGCATTATAGCTTATTTCAGTTCGTAATTCCTAATCTTCAATAAGCTATTGATTTCATGACTATTTATTTTGGAGTAATAAATGGTCATCAACACTTTCAGGGCCATTTCCAGACTTCCTTAATACAAATCCATTGTTTATAATTTCATAGTTCTTTTGATGAATTCTTTTAAGACAACAAATAATAGATCAAGTAAAGTTGAGATCATTTATTTTCTACTCTAATCGAAGGTTCTGAATCTGAGTTTCACGTACAGCATCGTGAATACACACTGTTGGGGAGTCCCATACAAGGACGAAATGGCCGTTCAGTGATTACAGATTTTCATTGGTAGTCTAACATTGATCCATTTATGATATATCAACAAATGAATATCATGAGGGAAATAGTTGAGTATTTTATTTCTATTGAAGTTAATTATCGTCATAAATTAATATCAACCTGGATGAAACATTCGTTCAGTTCTCTTTGATTTCGAATATTTACCTAATCGGTGCTTATATATTTTATCTATTTATGTATTTAAACACATAAACATTGGTACAATGAGGAATCAAATAGATATGCGCCACATAAACCATTCGATTTCTGTGAGGGGTGGGATACTGCACGAGTGCCCAAACTGAAGCAAGGAGCCACATTCGGAGCCTTTGACCTAGAGGTCTGGTCCACAAGGCAATCCCATGCTAGCCTGTGACCAACAACTGGTTCATACGCCATTTGTTCTCTCAGGATCCTGGAGCCCATGTACACCATTGGTTTGGAATGAGGGTTTTCCAAATCTCCTGGGTGAACTCTCCGTGTCCACCAACACTGTTTAAATTCCGAACATTCACTTTTCGTCTTCTTAGTTTTGTATACAACACTCGTGTTGCGAGAAGTCAGTGAGTAAGGCTTCCCTGATAGTGGTTGTATGCACGTAGTCATGTGAGAGCATTTATAGAGGAAGAGCTGATTCTCCTCACTCTTGGCCGTATCAGGGCATTTAAGAACTGGTGGAAGTACCGGGTTATGTATTTATAGACATATTAATAATCAACAGCTTTATACTACTAGTAGTTATCAGGAAAATAGTAGTATATATATATATGTATATATATATAAAGAGTATCTTGTTAAACTTACTCAAATTCCTTTTTGATGGAGTAAAAATTGATGTACTAAGCTCACGTAATGTAGATAATGTCATTCTATTCTTTTTACTACTATTAGTAGTATAATCATTGAATTTAAAATTTTCAGGATTCATTATAGATGATTTACTATGATTATTATTATTATTAGTAGTAGTATGATTATATTGTCGTAATTTCACTTGTACTCTATCTGATGTTTCTCTACTTAATGTATGTTTATCATATGGAGATTTTTTTGGTTTATGCGTACCTGATGCCCATGCTAATGCTAATGCACCAATATGAGCTTCACGTTCTAATAAATTATCGGATTTCATTTCATCTTCTTTTTCAAATGATGATTTTAAATTATCACTTAATCTATATTCATTTAAATGAGTATCATATTCATAGAGATTACTAGTACTATTACCATTACCATTACCATTACTATTACTATTACCAAGTATAGAATTCTTATCATTCTTATCTAAATAGTCTATAGTATGAGAATTGAATTGTTCATCTTGTCTCATTGTATCACTATAATGTCTTGGATATACACAATGAATAGTTGATTTACGACGTATAATTATAGTATTATCTGGAGTAATACTATTCTCATTTGAATGATGTTGTTGTTGATGATGATGATGATGATGGTGATGCAATAAAGAGGATTCCATTCGATCATGATATTTATATCGATTAGTAATATGCTCTGTAGCAGTTCGTTTTAACTTGTATAAAGAGTTACGCATCATCTCTGTTGTATCATTATGATTACTAATACTACTATTACTATTGTTATTATAAGTAGTAGTAGTAGTAGTAGTAGTAGTGGTAGTAGTAGTAGTAGTAGCAGTAGTAGTCGTAGTGGTATTCGGGTCAGAATATTTCTGTTTAAGAAATTTTGTTCGTCTAAATTGATTATTTGATAAAATTGATGATCTTGATTGTTTTCTTACTTCAAATCTACGTATTTCATGATCGAATAAATCAGTTTTATGCATTATTACATGATTATTATTATTATTATTATTATTATTATCTAATTGTAAATGACAATGTTGTTCATTAGGATCATTGATACTAGAACTATTATCGATTAATGTATTGTTTATTGATTTGAATGAACAATCAGATTGTTCTTTGGATGTTTGTAAATCCTCAGTTTGAATTTGTTGATTAGATGGAACATTCATTGTAGTACTAGTCGTCGTCGTCGTAGAAGAAGAAGGAGAGTTGGGTTGTGCCTCAATACGTTTCAATGAATGTGGAGATACTTCAATGATTTGATGATAATGATTATTATTATTATTATTATTATTATTATTATTATTATTATTACTAAAGTTATTATGATTGGTGCCAATATCTTCAAAACTTGAAAGAACCGATTTCCAACTTCCACTTGTGGAATGTTTAAAATCATCTAAATTTTCTAGAAATTTTGTAGAACCAACTGATTGAAACATTTCAAAACTATCAGTTTCTGTACTTGGTTGATGATGTAATAAATATGAATAACGTTTAAATCCTCTTAAATCATAATCATCAAGTATATTATGTTGAGTTTTATCAATTGAATTGGAACATTCTAAATTAGATTTCATTGATTGTTCTATTCTTTGTTCTTTTTCGTCTTTTTCTTTCTCTTCTTCTTCTTCTTGGTCGCCGTCATCTTCGGGTTCTTTCATTTTTTCATCCATTTTAAATGATTATAAAATTGAATATGGATTAGTTCTTGAAAGAAGATAATCATTTGTAAGTTTATAATACAATCAATTGGTTGATTCTAAAGGATTGAAGAAAGAAATACATTAATTTACAAAGTACAAATGTATTAGATAGTGGAATGTAGTTACTAACCCGACCATCACCCTCCTCCTTGGATTTATATTACATGATTGTGAGATCCGAGCGAAGATTAAATCACCAGTAACTTCTGAGACTTATTAATGGACTAATATCATCTATATATTCTTATGGTATAACTTTTCAATAATTAGATTATGTATATTTATATTCCTCTTGTTATAAGCTTCATTTTGACTTATAATTTATTGTTGTACGATTCATTGTTCTTAAGCTATGTTCAGTTAATTGACTACTGCCTCCCACGTTTACAGCTTGTTTTTGGGCTTATTTGCGTACACATGTTATTTTCTATTTTATGGTGCGTTGTGGTCTGTTTGGTTGATATAAAAAAACTCAGTACGTCTGAAATAAATGATTCGATTCGATTCCCATAGTGGGAGCTGGTATTGGTGCTCTGGACTTAAGTGGACGGGCTAGGCGGACATAGGACCAATAAGGACACTAGACTGCTCATAGCGGTTGAACGTCATTGGTTTGGCGACACAGTGCTAAGATTGTATAAGTCGTATTTGATTGGTGGATAAATCACGTGACAAAAAGCTGAACATAAATTCACGACAATGATAGTTGATACTTAGTACGTGAACTCATTTGTAATCCGTAGGGTACTGATTTCCCCCTTGGAATTCTTATTTGTGTCATCTAATACTATTGTGAAGTATTTGAGCCAGAATTGATTTCGTGTGAAACTTGACTATTCACATTAATCAATACCAGTGGATTATAAGTTAGTGATTAGTTAATTTAGAACATGTGACTTTCCCAATGGGAGATCCATCAATTTAACAGTAAAAAAAAACTGTCATCAATGCTTCTGAATAATAGTTATGGTAATATCATATTCTGAATGAAATCATACTGTTTGACTTCAACTTCATAGTTTCAACAGTTGAAAATTCCTCACAAGATCTGGAAACTTTGGGTTTGATTACCAATGAACTAGCTTACTATTGAGGAGTTTCATTCTAGTATGAAATAGTTGTCAAGTATTCATTGATTCTTAATGGTTGCTACACCGACTAACATAGATGCATTCTTTACGAATTACTTGTTATTACATCTATGTGTATAAAAGCATGATTTCATCCATTTTCGAACTGTACATGAAACATTTCTGTTCTGTCAAAAAGATGAATCGTCTAAGATGTTAACAATAGTATGATCTTGAATTTGCCCTATGTTAATATGTAGGATCAATTTTTGATCAGTTCTTGTTGACAGACATACATTCTATGTGGATTATATTGATAGAGGTACATCCTTCTCATAAGTCTCAAATAAGAAGAAATGATCGTTTTGGATTCCACTTCTAGCTAAGATTCATCTATTCTAAGTCTTTTGAAATAAATTGGATTATATATTGAGTTCAATTGAGAGTTGTGGAAATTTTGTTTTGTACTCATGATTCCTTCTAGTTTCACAGAGTACATGTTACTTTTAAGCTATTGAGTTAGAATTTAATACCCTATATTTCTAACTTGAAGCATTAAAAACTAACCAGTGTCATACAAAACTATCTCACATTAATCAATTGATGTTAGACCACCGTTGGAAACCTGGAAGCACTGGACGGCCGTTTCGTCCTAGTATGGGACTCCTCAGCACTGCGCGTCCACGATCCACGAAATTGCGCGATCGGTTGATGTTAGACACTAACACCATTGGATGCCGGCTCAGTGGTCTAATGGTTAAGTGCTAAGGCGCGGAGCCAGTGGGCCCTGGGTCCGGATCCCGCCGGGTGCGGGGTCGTGGATGCTCACTGCTGACATCTCACATTATTTTGATCATATATATTATATAACAGAACACGAAAGGTAGTTAAGTTTAGATGCACTAAATCCACTAATATCTGTCTGTTATTTGTGTAAGAATGAAGATTGCTTTTAACTGATAAACTAATCTGAATGAATACATGTTGTTTATGATTGAGATCATGAACCGATTGATATTAGACCACCATGAAAAGTCTAGAAGCACTGGACGGCCGTTTCGTCCTACTGTGGGACTCCTAAATAGCAGTGCGCATCCATGATTCCGCTGGCGGGATTCGAACTCAGAGCTTTCAGTCTCACGCACAAACTTTTAACCTCTAGACTACTGAGTCTGTTGTGAGATAGTAACTCACGGATGACAATGGTGGATGTGACGCTTGTTTTCGTGGATTAGTTGAATGTAGACATTAACACCGTTGGATGCTGGCCAGATCAATGGTCTAATGGTTAAGTGCTCGCGTGCGTGACTGATTAATCCTGTGTTAGAATCTTGTGAGGCGGGATCGTAAATGTGCACTGCTGAAGAGTCCCACAATAGGTCGAAACAGCCATGCAATGCTTCCATATTTTCCATGGTGATCTAGCTTCAATTGACTCATGATCTCAACTATTGAAATTATTGTAATATCCACAACCCCCCTTTCTAATATTAATAACTAATTATTTCCCTAGTACACTAACATACTAAATCATCATACTTTTCTTGTAAAGAAGCAGGCAAACAAACAAACAAACAAACTTGTATATTCACCTCATTCTTTTTTAAAGTTTTACAATGAAAAGTATGTAATTCAATGAGAAAAACATGACAACTTTTCTTTTCGTTTCTTTTCTTTTTCTTTTATTGTTTCTTTCCATTTTCTTTTGCATTTCTACTATGAAATGATTTGATGTCTTAGTTACAAAAATGTATATTATGTCATAAATGTTCTTATAATTCAATAATGAACTAAACTAAATCAAGGTCATTTTGAAACTATGACTATAATTACATAATGAAATTTTACATTGGACATAGTTAACAAGCAAAAAAATCAAACAAGATAAACAACTTCACCACCACCACCACCACCACCAACAACAACAACAGTAGTAATCATAAACCGAGTCAACATCCTCAAGGTGAATTGGACAGTTACAGTAAAGGAGAGAGAGAGTGAGAGTGAGATACACATACACACGCACACAGGGAGAGGGGTGGGAGGGGGAGAAAGAGGAAATAAACCGACAATAAAAAACGGAGTTTTTTTTTACTTAAGACTATTTAAAATAGAATAAACCTTTAGTTCATGTTAAATGTGAAGATTCATTGTCTGTGAATCAAAAAAAAACAAAAAGAGAGAAGAATCTAGATATTTTGTTACTATCCTAGATACAAAAGAAAATATTATGAAAACATTCCTTGTTGTTCTTTTTTTTCTTTTTTTTTTTGAAGGAAAACTAATGATAGTTCTTATTTAATCTTGGTAAAGTACAGTACAATTTTTAAGGAAAAAATATAGTGAGACTATAGTTTATGAATAAATTAATCAGGTATAAGATAACAGGTCTAGGATTTTTGGCGCATTATAACTGATGTCATTTTATGATGAAAACCCTAAATCTAATTCTGAACCCTTAACTGGAGTATAACAGAAGCTCCCCTGAAGCTAGTCGTTGTTGTTCAACTTGCATCCAATGTGTTTCACTGATCCCAAGCACCTCTAGGTTGTATCTCCTCATTTCTGCAGCAATTTGGAAGACTCTCCCGGTCTCCCACAATGTACGAGTATTTCATGTACCTAAATAAATGGTTGCTCTGGTTGTCAGAAGGGGTATCGGCCTCGTAACTTCCGAAGGAACTCGGATTTCATCATGAGGTGTCATAATTCTTCTAAATGAAGACCTTCTGACTCCCAGGGCAGAGTTTAAAAGGTTTGAATAATCCTTTCTGGTTAGCGTTTTTTTAGCGAGTTAGTTTTCTACGGGATGGGGTCGCTAACCCCATGCCTAACCCTCCTTAATCCGGGCTTGGGACTGGCAGTAGCCTCCGGAGGGACTCAAGGTGGATTTGAACCCTTGACCATCAACTGTAAATCATAATTTTAATTCATCACACAGCTTTATAACCCGCATTTGGTCCTGGTTATTAGGTGGACACTCTCAAGGCCAGTCTAACGTCACTCAAAGGTCGTCCATAAATTATAGTCTCACCAGTAGAATTTTTATATACTGGGAATAATGAAATCATGTTGGTTAGTTCAATGTTTATTTTTAATCTTATTGGCTTAATAAATGTGTAAACGATACACCAGTTGAAATGGTGGTTGGAGGTATTCAACAGGAAACCCTGGACCCTATCTACAACCACCATCTAATTTCAACATAGTACATGCAATGTCAAGTCACTTAGACTAAGAGATTGTGTAATTTTGGCGTTCACACTCATTCGATTGTCCCCACTTGTGTTCTTGTTCACTACAACCTTCCTTTCGGTATTTCAGTGGACGAGAACAAAAATGGAGATGATCAAATGTATTTGAACACGAAATTATTGAATATTTTAGTAAAATCTGAGAACCATACATTAAATACTTCATTATTAAAATGTCAATTAATTGCCTCACACTTTGTTGTTTCTTCGTTTCTACATCAATAACACTCTGTTCTCGTTTTCTTTTCTTCGATCTTCTTAACCTTCTTCCGCCAGGTATTTCACGTTCTATTGATGATACATATCATTTATATCTGTCGACATCAGTAGCAGACACTACAGTACTATTTGAAAACAGGGAGCACTGGATAGCTGTTTTGTTCTAATAAGGGACTCTATGTAATTAACTCTTTGCAAGTTTTAGAGATTTTCATGGGCGAATTCAGTAGCAATTAATTGAATGATCATTTATCCAGGTGTGAATTTTAGGTGTTATATGTTTGAATCCTACAGGGAACATCAGTTCCTTCGTTGATGCAAATATGCCTGTGGTGTAAACAACTTATGTCAACATACATAAGTAGTATGTAACACCAATCGGAAGTGAAAAGCTTGGCAGCAGAAGACTAAGAAGATCGAGTTGAAGAGAATTGAAAGAAAAATAGAAAAGAATCGTGCACTCGAACAACATTACAGAATGTGATGGACAATCGATGGAATTCAAGACGCGTC